GTGGTAGCACTTGAATGTATTATTATTCTTTTTCTTAGTATTGCTACTATTGCTATCATCATCATTATCACTAGTATTATTGGTATTACTACGACTACTATTATTGCTACGATTACTGCTATCACTATTAATAATTTCATTCTTACTGCTATGAGTATTGCTACAATTACCATTGCACTTATTTCTGTTCTTATGACAGTTAATTGTATAATTAGGTATTAGTACAATAGTTAGTAAATGTTGTTAAGATGTTTTTGGTATTAGCATTCCTATGCCTATCAAGCGGGGGAAGTCAAGCTCTCGCATGGAGCGTCCTCACAGTTTTGCTCGACATCAAGCTCTGGCGCGGAGAGTCCGCACATGCTTGCTGGAAATGGACCTCTCGCGTGGAGAGCCCTCGGAATTGAGCCTGCGCGTGGCGTGGTGCATCCTCGCACAAGGAAAACAAGCAAACCAAAAAAGGAAGGACAACAAAAAATATAAAAACAACTCCACCTCAAAAAAGCCCGGAACACAATGCCGTAACCAGAAGGCCAAAAGAAGTTTCTGCCTCGTAGAGTCAGCGCAGGATGCATTCTGCTTAGCGGTTCCCCCTGCTAGCAAATTGCTTCGAATCACAGCAAGCTGCTGCAGGTTCTGCAGCACGTCGCGAGCGGTCTGAATAAGCTGCCATGAACTCAATAATATAGCATATTTGTTGAAATTCGCCGATGTAGTGAGTCTTGACGTTTAGGCATGGCCTTAGCATCGTGCACTTGGACATCAAGCCCGACAACATCCTGCTGAGCCAGGGGGAGCCAGGCGGGCCAGTTGAAAGTCTTTTTGGAAATGCGGGTGTAAAGACGACAAACAAAGCTCCAGGGTGTAAGTTGGAGTAAAGCAGATGAGAGACGTGAGAAGCTGAGATACTGTCAGGTTATTTCAAGATTGCTGACCTTGGGTTGGCAGCCGCTGCCATAGGCCCGCTCTGAGTTCACTCGCAGACTGTTGATGCCTTGATATGCTTGGAGTTCCTGAAGGCGCTGGATGCGATGACATAACCGAGGGAGACTGCCGCTACCTTGCCAAAGAGGTGCTGCAAGGCTCAATGCTTACTTGTGAACCTGTGAATGTGCCCAGTATTGTGCTGTTGCATGTACGGGGACCGCGTAGGTGACTTTGCAGACCTCTCGAAAGCTGACGTTTTTTCACTCGGCCTTGCATGTGCCTCAAACCACGCCCACCAAGATCTACCATCAACGGACCCCTCGCAGCCGAGAGTCCGCCGAGGTTCTCTTCGAACTGGGCACGAACCCAAGGTCTTTGCCAAGCAATGGTCGCACCGGCTCAGATTGAGTGACAAGCAATGGCAAGTTTGTGTTGCTCTAAGCCTGGCAAGCGTTGACATGGAGTGGGTGTTGATGTGCGTTGGCTGGAACCAGGAGTGAGTGGTACTTTCTTTGTGGGAGGTCCCGAGTGGCACAGCCTGCGTCGATCATTGGAGGTGCTGGGATTTTTTGCTTGGAGCACTACACCAAGTGAAACAACGTTCATTCCAGGTTGCTCTGCTGCCAGAGCTATCACCCAAGCTGCTCCAGCTGATGCAGGACTTGGCCTGGCGCCAAACTGGATCTGCTGCTTATTTCCAGCCCATTTTGTAGAATTCATCGGCCATGGATCATGGATTTGGCTGAAGTGTGCTAGCTGCTTGCAGTCTGGACTATGGCGTGCTGTGGCTGTGCCATTGGGGGTTTTCAGGTCCATGCTCGGAAGGAGCAAAGACCGACTTGTCAGGCATCCCAAAATGCCATTGCCACACATTGCAGCAGCTACAGAGCATCTGCGCTGCAAACCAGGCAATCCTGCAACAACTGTCCGCTGATGCTATGTGCGAGCCGGACCCGGCTCATGTCCAGGCGCTCCACAAACAGTACTAAAAGCTCATACTTCTGCCATATCTTGCGACTTTAGCAAAAGCAGCCTGTAATCTCGCTGTGGCTCTTCAGCTTTGGCAAAGGATGGCAAAGAGCATGTGTAGGGTACTGACATGGCTACATATGGCATCATCTACCATGCTTGCTAGGCTTTGCAAGATGAGGCCCGGCGATGCCGAGAAGAGGCACCCTGTCTGCTCGACTATCTCGGCCGTACCCCTGCTGATTGCAGGCCTTACGAAACCAACAGCGAGCAGACGAGTACTGGCAGGAGATCCTCTGCCTGAAGAAGCAGGACTTGGGCTTTGCGCAAGATGGTAAAGTCTGATTAGCGCCCATCTTAAAGCTCGCCTGAGCTGGAAGCTTGAGTCGACTGCACGCATAGCTGACATAGCTTGAGCTGTAGATCACGTTGAATTGAAAGAACAGAACACTATATCCACTTCGACTGGTTTATGGCTCCAGCCGTTTACCACTCTTGGTTGCCCACCCGAGCAAGGAGCTGATGTGTGAAAAGCCAGCGCTGAAGTCAGCCGCGCGCTTATGGGTTTTAGATGACGTGAGGTGCGTTGCGGCAAGCTGCTAGCACACATGCAAATGCTTCGACACTGCATGCTTAAGCGTAGCATGCAACTACCTAGACACCAATCTTGTGTAGGCTGGCATTTATGCTTGCGCCTTGACTGCCGCAGCATGTGACTGCCGCATTTTCAGTTCACTGCAATTGTAAGATTTTCTATGTGCATGCCGGGATGGGCACTGTGCGCAGGCACCGTTTGACGGAGAAGGAGCTCGAGTTCAGCTTCGGCGCAGCAAAACTACCTGTTATTGATGGAGTGCAGGTCCGCTGGCAAGCAGAGCTAGTGATCATGCTCCCTCCATATCTACTGAAGCTCTTCATCTTTATTTAATGTAGGTTCGGTGTAGATTCAGTTGGCAGCTACTCTGACAGAGTGCGCGTGATGATACCTGAAACTCTAGGGCTTGAAGGCATGGAGGCAAGGCAATGTTTCCCATTTTTTGGCAATAGTCTGATCGTCCAATTGCATGGTGAGCATGGTGATGTGTTCTCTGGTAATCTCTGGTGCGCGGCTGAGGGGATTCTGTTTTCTGAGCTCCGCTGTGCACAGCAGCTGCTATGCACGAAATTTGTTCTGCGGCATGATCTTATCCTACTACTTAGGCACTGTACAGGTTGCCACTAGGCCCATGGACTGCAGCATATTTTTTTTAAGTTGTCATTGACGGTTGCAGAGCTGGCAGAGGCTGCAATCCCAAGTGCTGCACTCTGTGGAAGCAGAGCTTCTCAAGCCACACCTGTTCGAGGGGGTCGCGGGTGGTTCGGCGAGCACAAATTTGAGAAATAGAGTAATCAAATGACTGCTTGTCTGCTGCACAGCGTGCACATGGCAGTGCATCATGCTTTTAGGGCTGTTCAGACACATGTTCGGCTGTTGCCGGGCGGGTTCAAGTGTGTGTCAGATACGCCTATATGTGGCATACAGTTCTGTAAATTGGCATGGCGCCTAGTGCAATGTAATGCAGCCTTGACTCCTAAGGATACGACAAGCTTGTGGTCAGTGTAGGGGCCCATTAAAACCTGGAAGCCATGGTCAGACACTCACACAGCGTGCATTCGCCGCTCTTTGGGCGCTTCGTATGTGAGCTTGCGTGCTTTGGTTTGCAATGAGCTATGGCGCCTGGATCCAGATGCGGATTGCAACGAAGGCCGGCAGACTGTCTTTTGAGATTCCTTGAGCCAAACCTGCGTGTTTGGATCGATTAGGTCTAGCCCACAGCGGGCACCATAGTCCAATGGGCCACAGCCTCTGACGACTCCGTTGTATCTTGTATATGTGAAGACACTGCAGATGTTTGGTTTGTGGTGTGCAGTCACACTTCACGCCTAAACATGCCTCGCTTGCTTTCCACCTGGCTTCAACCATTTTTGTGCGTTGGTGTGACGAACTTCGAGTCACACTTGGAGGGTAATCGTGTAAATGTTGGTGGCTGGATGGCTGGAGCTTTCTGGCTGGAGGCCCTTGCATGTGGACATGACTGCTCCCAGACTGTTCCACCCACCAACATGCAACGCAGTGAGCAAGTGAATGATACGAGCACTCACTGACTCTCGCCGTTCATTCCTCCCATCAAGCAAATTGACTAAATGAATTCACCTTGGCTTCGTGGACGCGTGGAACCATAAACCCTAGGTCGGCTACAAAAGCGCTTTTGTAATGGAGTTGCTTGCCAGCAGCATCGTTTCACCCAGTAAAGAAGAGGATCGGAGATCCTCTTCTAGCTGACGCGACCTACCCATTTTTAAGCTTTTCAAAGATTGTTTGTAAGAAGCTCTGCCCAAGTCAAATCCTCAGCATGGTCTTCTGCGAGGGGGGGAAGGGGGGAAGGGGGGGACGTGGGGGGCCGGGGGGGGAGGGGTTGATTAAAACATACCAGGACTGTTCATTGGATGTTTGATGCACCCGAGGCCTGCAGAGCCTTCAAATTTTGATTTTTTGTTTTTTGGCTATGTTTTTTGCTTTCTTCGTGTATTTTCCAATTCTTTCACAAGGTCAATTTGAAACGCGATTGCGATTAGGGCTGCGCAGCAGCGGCGACTGTTTCCGCCTTCCCAAGTGATGGCGGCAACTTGAGCTGTCATCTCAAGTCCGAGCATATGCTCAAGTTGTTTCGCCTTCTTTGAGATTTGAAGTAGGCGTTTAAGCTCGCTCTAGTAGATAATACCTTAAGCGAGTTGGTACGTGTCAAGTTGGCATTGATTCTTCAGATGCGTTTGCCAGATTGTCCTTGTATCGAGCGTGCCGTAGATGGTGCCCTTAAACTGGCGCCGTAAAGTCCGAAGGCAGAATTGCTTTATATCGAGGCATTCAGGCATCACGGGCGCAGGTCTCGCGCAGGGTTTTCAGGAAGTTGTCCTGCGATGCTGCAAGGTCGGCGTTGAGGGCGGTTTTAAGGGCGCTTTCGTGCGCGGCGTTACGAGCAGCGTTACGGGGGGCGTTTATGGGCGACGTTTTTGGGCGGCTTTGTGGGCGGAGTTTATGGGCGGTGTTTACCGGCGAGCGGTTTGGCAGTTGCGTATGGCAAGGCCGGCTCCAATCCATTCAAGGCTACTAGGCGCATGTTCAAGCATGTTTGAGTTTCCTCTGCAACTTCAAGGGCTCTTGATGAGGCCCCTGCCGTTGGTAGTCAGCGGTGCTTCAGGTGGACTTGTGGGGTTGTGCTTGCAGATTCTGAGGGAGATCAGCCACCAACCTTTTGTGCCCCCTGAACCTGAAAGGCTTGTGCCCTCCCCCGCTGCTACGTGTGAGGCCTTGGAATTCCATCCGCCTTCGATCCTTCAGGATCTGCATTGGCCTTCTCTGTTTGTGGGCCTGGCCTGTGGACTTCTTGCTTGGCCTTTGTTGGACTTCCTGCTCATAGTTCGGTGGGGATTGTTTCGAGCAGCAAGGAAGGCTGCTCGGCCGTTCGTCCCTGGGGAAATTTAAAGGCTCATTGAATGAATACTGAGGTTCTGGCCTTACGAGCTGAATTGGTTGCTGTCAGATCTCTCATTCGTCAATTGGACGCCAGAGTGAACGAGCTTGAGACTCGGCTCGAAGGTTTTGAGTTCGTGACTGCTGAGGAGCCTCCCTCGGCCAGTTCTGTGCCTGCACAGGCAGCGTCCTTTACCCCTCCAACCCGTGTTGCTGGGAGTGACCCTCCAGTGCAAGCTCTGACAGGGGAAACTGTATTCTCCGACGGCAGCTGCTCCAGGTCACCAGGTTCGCCTACTTCTGCCTTCCGTGTCGCTCTCGCCCAACAGGTGGGACGTTTTCTCCGGTCCTGTTTGGAAGGGGGTCATAGGAAGAGTTCGGGCCGAGACCTGCTCAATTTGCAATCTCGCTACTACATTGTGGTGAGGGATTTTGCTGGACTCACTTACGATCCTCCTCGCATCTACACTGCCTTCAGCAAAGTAAAACCCCTGTGCTTGAGGGGCTTTGAAAAGGGAGACGCCGTATTCATTGGCCTGCCCTCCCAAGCCGAGGTGCGCATTGCCCTGAGCGCCGCTCGTTTGGCTTGTCCTGCTGGCAGCTTCGATGCCTGAAGCTGAAGAGTTCGACCTGGGGCCTGCTGCCCCGGGGCCTTCGGATAATCTTATTAGTGATCTAGGTGCCGAGTTTGTGATTGGCGCTTTGCATCTTGAAGGCGATTCTGAATTGGTCACTTGCCAAGTGGCCGCTGTTGCACAAACGGGGGAAGGCATTGTAGTTGCAGTTCCTCACGCTGCTTGGCACAGACAGGCTGCCAGGCGGCGATTGCCACCGCGCACTTTGAGCCGCGCCACTCTTGCTGAGGTTTTGGCCAGTACTGAGGCCGATCCGCGCGAAGCTCACCCTGTATGGAAAGTAAAGGTTTGGTTAGGGGTTCTTGGGCACGAAGCTGTCGTAGCCTCTGTCTTCTCCGAAGAGGACCAAGATGCCGACCTTGTGTTCGTTGTTGCAGGCTCCGGCGGGGGATCCAATCCTCCCGCGAGAGCCAGGCCTTTTGCAGATTCTCTGGCTGCCATCGCTTCCGAACATTTTGCATTCCTCTCAGCCGAAAGCCAAGGCGGGGAAGAAGGCGGGGTGGATCAGCGGCTGAAGACGGTCGAAGATACACTCGTGCAGATTCATTGCTTCTTTGGCCGAAGCTCGGCCCGTGGCTGGGGCTGTTCAAGCTCCAGCTCCTGCAAGACCTTCGCCGGAGGAGGCGACGACCTGCAAAGCGGTTTGGGCCCAAGGCAGCCGCTTATCAGAAGCTGAGAACCCTCTTGAGGACGGCTCCAGAGCAGATTTCTCGATCGATCGAGAGCTTTGATGACCGAAGATTTCTCACTTTGTCAGACGGGTCCGGGACAGGAGTCTCGGCCTTGCACGGCCCCTTGCACGGCCCGAGCCTGCGAGCATCGATCTCACTTGCAGAGCTTCGCGGCTATCCGCCAGGCTTGGACATTGGGAGGCATCATCGATGCATTGAACAACAACAGCCCCGAGGAGGCGAAGGCCATAGCTCTTTTAGCTCTGGCTGCGCTCGATCAAAGCGCCGTAGATGCAGGCAACTGGCTGCTTGCAGCAGAATTCAGTTTGGAGAACGCTCCTCCGTTCGGCGCTGACCAGCGCTCTCGAGCCCTCGAAGGCGAAGCAAACAAAAATCTTGGACAGCCGTTGGGTCAGCGTCCTGATGAGCCGCCTGAAGGAAAGAGATGCTTTCCACACAGCCAAGAGGAATCTGGGGGGGCCAGGAGGCCAAGCTCACAATCCTCCGACTGCGACTGCGGGGGACGACCTTTTCGGAGGAGGAGGAGAAGCCAAAGGAATGGGCAAAGCTGCCAAGGAGGAGAAAGGGAATTGATTCCCTTGCCAGAGGCCGGGCATGACGGGCGTGGAGCGCCCTCCTTTCGCTGTGCGAGTTTGCGTGTCTCAGTTTCATCCACTTCTTGTGCAGAAGTTTTGCGGCCGAGCCCGGGTGCATCTGGACGGTCCGTCTCGGTAAGTGAAGGCCCTGACACTGCGCATTGCCTAGCTAACGCCTTTCAGGAGGTGCCTCATGTTGAGCCATCCTCCGTCTCGGAGCCTTTTGTTGCCGCTCCTTCAGATCATTCTGCCTGCCCGCCGGGGACTGCCTCACCCTGCGGCGCCTGCCCTCTGCAACCGCATTCCAATCCCGAGAATCCCCTTTTAGGGTTCCCTAGTGCCTTGACCTCGCCTAGACCGAGAGTCCACTGCAAACCAACGGATGTGTCCGTCGTCCGCATTCGCCTTGTGCTGCCTTAGTGTCCTCTCATAAGGATAGGGGTCGTAGTCCTCAGAAACTTCCCGTAGGGTTTTTTAGTGCCTCGACCCCTGACCCTTTCCGTGTCCCTGTGAAAACAGTCAGCGCTGCACAAATGTCTCTCCAAGCGTGGAACAGAGTACAGACGTTGCTCTGGCCAGTTCCGGGGTTAAGGTTCAGGGCGATAGGGTTCGTAGTCCTGAGAAACTCCCCTTACATTTCCCTAGTGCCTCCGCCTTACCCTCCGACCCGTGTGTGCATAATCCTGAAACCCGTGCGAAGTTTTCCTCTGCAATCTCTGAACGTGCAGTACAGTGTACCTTGCTGGGATATGGGCTTCCTTTTTCCAGTGTATCAGCGCATCTGATTGCCGCCTTTCAACATTCTTCCATAGTCTCCGAGAATCACCCTGCGCGCAGCAGGGGCCCAACGTGGGAAAGCGATCCAAACCGGATCTTGCCATTTGGCCCATGCCTCTTCCACATCCTGAGCTTATGTTACCTGGGGCATCGCGCTCCCGCGACCCCGAGCAATTAGCCTTGAACGCTGTCGTGCTAGTGTTGGACTGGCTTTACCTAGGTATGCCTGCAGTCTGCCCCCAGCATCTCAAGCTAGGTTTAGGGTCTTCTTTGAACGCTTGCCAGGTTCAAGCTCTTGATAGGCTGAAGCCTAGCATATCCCAGTGGAACAGAAGCGGGCCTTACGGCCCTGCCGATATGAGTCGGGCGGCCTCTAAGTTTGAGGCTTATGAGGACGAGCTTGATGCCATACGAGCCCATGTAACAAAGCACCGGGACAGGAGCTGCCTGCCTGAGCTAGCCTTCCAGGCCCTGTCGCACGCTCGGCCTGTTGAGCCAAACCGATTGCGCTTTGTAGGATCGCCCACCTTTGATCCGACTCCTTTCCTTGACGCTGCTAACAGGCAGACGTACCTTCGGCCGCTTGATGCCGCTCAGGCCATTCCTCCCGAAGTGCCCATTCCCCGGGTCAGTGTGCGAACTCGAC